GATGGTCACACCGCAATCCCTTCTCCTCCATTCTCCTCTCGGGATCTTGGGCACGCACGCACACGCGCCTGGCGTGAGTTTTAAGCCACCGGGTCTGGGACACGAACCGCGGTCGACTACGTGGGAGTCCAGAAACATAGCCATTACGCTAACTGCTGGTTCCCCACCCCCCTACTTTTAAAAATATTCATCAACTATGAAAATGTGTTTGTTTCTACTTTTTTTTTTAAAGACTTGGTCTCAGTACATCCAATATTCTTGCCTCATTTTTCCAAGTATCTGCAATTCCTTTTTTTTTTTTTTTTTTTGAGAGAGATATTTTTGCTATAGGGCACGTGTGCTATCTGGAGAGACAGAGTCACAGGAAGCAAGAAATAACCCCACAGAGGGGATGGCCACACTGCAATCCCTTTTTTCTCCATTCTCCTCTTGAACTTTTTTTTTTTTTTAATTTTTAATGTTTATTTATTTATTTATTTTAATTTGACCAGGGAGAAACAGAGTAAGATAGAGAGTGAGAAAGCAACCCACCAGGTCCGGGACTCGAACCATGGTTGGTCATGTGGGAGTCCAGTGCCCTTAACCACCACACCAACTGCTAGCCCCATCCTCTTGAAATTTTGGGCACACACATAAATGCGCCTGGTGTGAGTTTAAGCTGCCAGGTCCAGGACTCAAACCACAGTTTACTACATGTGAGTAATCATTACATCATCTGCTGATCCCCCAAGTAGCTGAAATTCTAAGACTATACCATCATGCCTGACTCTTTCAGACAGGTCTTCCTCTGTTACGAACACTGGCCACACGTTTGCAATCCTCTTGCCTTAGCCTTCTGAGTCGCCAGGTCTAAAGCATGCACCTTCATGCCTAACTGGACTGAAAATTGAACCCAATCCTCCCAGGAGGCCTCAGCCTTCCAAGTAGCTGCATCATCCAGTGCACACTACCAGCACTGGGCTGTTTCTAGCATCTTTGCCTTTTTTTTTTTTTTAAATAATTTCCATCTCTCTAATGAAACTTTTCTTCTGTTCATACATGGGTCTCACCTTTCCTATAGATCTTTTATATATTTATATGTTAATCATCACCTCATCTATTTGATCTGGCATCCTGGTTGTCTTTGGTCCTGTTACGTGCTTTATCTTTGGAACATTGGGTCATTTTTTTTCTGGCTTTTTTTTTTTCTGTGTGTATTTTGAAATTTGAGATTGAATGCTGGGTATGGGGTGTAGGAGAAAAGTAGAGACTGAAATAAATGGTATGTATGCCCCAAAATGACCACTTCTGTTTCTTCAGGATGTTCATGTGGGGACTGAAGGGTTGACCTGGGTTTGGCTTTTACCATTCTTACCATTACCGGCAGTGCCAGGTCTTCAACCCCTCCGACAGCGGGCTGCTGGCACCTGGTATATTGTGGGTCCTGGAGTGCAGAGGGTTTCCTTAGGTTCGCGCTCTACCCTCGGTTTTCAGCAACCCTCACTCTGACCCTCAGAGGTGGCTATAGTGCACTCTTCCTCTCCCCTCATTGGCAGCCTGCGATTACTTGGTACTTGGTACGAGGCTTGTGCCGGGTGGGGGTGTCCCCCTGTTCAGCCTCAGCGTTAGGCAGGACCCGTGCTCCGCACGTAGGGATCTTCTCGTTTCTGCACATTCTCCTACCCTATGTCATGAGAGTTGTCTGAGGGTCAGCCTTTCCTCCAGTGGCAACAAATCCCTGCTTTGTACTAATGCAGGGTTCTGAATCCAGAGGGGTTTATCCCCTCCCCTGTGAGGAGATAGTTCTTGCTCTGCCTTCTGTCTGAACAATGGTGCTTTACCTGGTCACTGGACATAGTAACGAAGGTCTCTTACCCTGATTTGATCCTGCCTCTTTCCCAATGGCCCTAGAAGTGAGTTTGCTGCCCCTCTCCCAGCAACTTTAAGGCCTTTGCTTCTTATGAAGAAGGGATCCAGGGTAGTGAGTCATGTTCCATGCCTGTCCCCTAGCAGCAGCCACCACCTCCTGCACACCCCCCTCATCAGCTACCACCTTCACGCCTGCCCCCACTGCACATCTGCCCTGTCAGCACCACCTCCACATCTGTTCAGTTTTGAGGTGCTTGTTTTGGTGCCCTGCCCTGTTCCAGTCTTTCTAGTGGGCCCAATGGAAGCCATGGAGAAAAGCTTATGAGGTAATGCGAGCTTCTCTTGACTTGGGGGGGGTCCCAGTTATTCTAAAGCAATAAACTAGTCTGCCCTGAGCCTGTAGGAATTCATACAGGTCCTGCATCCTGTTTGTCCTCAAAGGGGTTTGTCACTCTTTGGAATTCAGTTCACTTGTTTCTAAGTTCAAGACGAGTTATGGTTTTATAGACTATCCAATGCATTATAACAGAAGAGACGTCATCTTACCTATAACCTACCCAGATTACTTCACAGTATTCAGTTGTAGTCCCTCAAATGAACCCCAGGCTTTTTGACATACTTTAAAGAAAAAAAGCTAGCATTATTGGACCAGTCTCCTAGCCTAGTGCTTAGGGGAGTTAGAGTCCACATGGTCGACCACAATTTGAATCCTGGTCCCAGAGGCTTGAAAAACATTCTGGAAACATGTATGTGTATACACAAAATCCTGTCAGGATGGAGAACTGGAGGAGAAGGGATTGTGGTATGACCATGCCCCATTGAGGGATGCTTTCTTGCTCTCCCTCCGTCTGTCACTCTGGTGAATCCAGGTGCACTCTAATGTATAAACTAAAAATAAATAAAGGCTAGCACTATTAGTCATTTATTATTTCTTTCTATTCTGCAAATGGATATCTTTAGTGTCAAAAGTAATAAACTTTAAGCCTATATTAATCATTAACATTCTGCAAACTTAATCTAAAAACACTGAATTTTCATGCTAGCAAAATTGACTGAAATGGGGACCAGCAATTGGCGTAATGGCTATGTCACTAGACTCCCATGTGGTCGACTGTGGTTCAAGTCGACCCAGTGGCTTAAACTCACGCCGGGTGCATGTATGTGTGTGTGTGTGTGTGTGTGTGTGTGTGTGTGTCCAAGATCCCAAGAGGAGAGTGGAAGAGAAGGGATTGTGGCGTGGCCATCCTCCGGGGGGAGGGGGATTTCTCACTTTATATCTCTCGGTCTCTGTCTTTCTGGTGAGCACATGTACCCTATAGCAAAAACCTCTCTCTAAAAAAAAAAAGGGCTGAAATGATGAGCATAGTCAGGGATTTTTGAGGGTCTCAAAAATGTAGGTATCAGCAAAAAGATACATTCAACCTCTTTTTTTCTGCCTTAGCTAGTCACATTATGGTAATTATCAATACTCCGTTAAAAGAAAACTAAATAACTTAAAAAAAAAAAAAAAAAAAAGGATATGAGCCCACCAATGGCATGATGGCTAAGGCAGCTCGATCCCATATGGCTGACTGTGGTTCAAGTCCCAGACCTTGCAGCTTGAAAAACACAACAGGCACGGGATCAGCAATTGCCGTAATGTTGCTGGACTCCCATGTAGTCGCCCGCGGTTCAAGTCCCAGACCCAGTGGCTTAAATTCAAGCCAGGCCCATGCGCGTGGTGCATGCCCAAGATCCCAAGAGGAGAATGGAGGAGAAGGCATTGCGGCGTGGCCATCCCACTGGTGGGTGATTTCTCACTTTCTGTCTCTCTGTTTCTCTCTGTATTTCTGATGAGCACACACACCCTATAGCAAAAACCTCTCCAAAAGAAAAAAAAGAAAAACATAACAGACGTATGTGTATGCATGCCCAAAATCCCAACAGAACAAAAGAGAAGGGATCATGGTGTAGCCATTCCCCCTAGGGGTTGATTTCTCACTTTCTCAATCTCTCTCTCTCTCTTCCCCTCCTCCCCCAGCAGGTGCACATGCCTTATAGCAAACTTAAAAATAAATAAATAAAAAGATACATTTACTATAGGGTAAAATAGCTAAGTGAGCATCCACTTAGCGAAAGCAGCTCTAGTTCTACAGCTGCTGGTGGAACTGGAGCTGGATGCTGTGAAGGCTGGGAGGCCACAGGTGCTTCAAGAAAGGGGATGTGTGGAGGCCGTCTGTGCTACAGAACCACTGTATGTGAGGCCACTGGTGCGGAGTCCGTGGGGTGATAGTCCTCAGTTCAGCTGCCAACAGGCCTCCTCTCCCTGCATCTCCTGCAGACATCACCCCATCCCCACCACTGTGGATGGCTCCAGGATTCTCCTTTAGCACCTAAAATGTGTCTTGTGGTTCTATTATCATTATTGTTATTATTATTATTACTAATTTGACCAGGTAGAGACAGAGAGAGAGAAAGGGAAAGTGAGAAAGCAACCCACCATGTCTGGGACTCGAACCATGGTTGACCATGTGGGAGTCCAGCATCTTAACCACCACACCACCTGCCACCCCAACCTTTTAAAAAAATGCCAGAGGGCATGTGCACATACAGAGAAGAGAGAAAAGAGGAGAAGAGAGGAAGTAAGAGAAAGCACCACCTCCCCTCTCCCTTCCCCCACAGCAGGGCCTGGTCAGACCACAATAATTTTTTCTCCAAGTCTCCACCCTGTCAGGATCCTGGACACACATACATTTGCTCAGCATGTAAACTGCCAGGGCTGGAACTGAAACCCTGGTTGGCAATATGGAATCCAGCTTCCTCTGCACCGTGCTCAACCACTATTATAAGGACTTTTATTCATTCATTCATTCATTTAGAGAGAAAGAGAAAAACAACAGGCATCCCACCAAGGTCTTCATATTGCAATCCAACCCCAGCTTCAGCTGGCCTAGATCACGGGCATGCTCAGGGAGATCCTGGGACACAAACCTAGGACTTTTCTTCCCATGAGGGTCCAGTTGCATCACTGCTGTATCACCACCTGGCCCGATTATCATTTCCTGAAGAACTTGCAGATTATGGTTCAAGTTGTGTAAAGAATACTGAGTGGTTAACTTGCAAAGAAAGGATATGATTTGGGGATGTGAGCAAGTCATATGTTTCTGTTTCAGGATGTTTTTACTGTAAGTGTTGGAAACTTGCCCCCTAAGGCTAAAGTTCTCATCAAAATTACCTACATCACAGAACTCAGCATCCAAGGCTCCGTTGCTGTCTTCTTCATGCCCGCCACCGTGGCACCCTGGCAACAGAACAAGGCTTTGAATGAAAACCTTCAGGTTTGTATGCTTCAGATTGGAAGAAGCACTTAGGTGGGTCTGTATGCATAGGGAAGAAAAGAGATCTAATGTCTGTGGCAGAAAGTCAGTTCTATTGGCATTTATGCATTTATACACATGTAAATGATGGCTATAAAATTAAAAGAATAAAAGATACTTACATGTTCAACCTTTTATTCTGTCTGGTCATTCAAAAAATTGTATATCTGTACTACATGTTCATCATGTACAAATAAGCCAAAAGAAGAAGAAAATTAAATTATCCTTAATTCCATTGCCCAGAAAGAGCCACTGATGAACGCTTTAGTTTATGTCCTTCCAGACTACTTGCTGTGTAAATACACACACATACACACACACATATATAGTTTTCAAAAAGGTCATGAAAAATGCATATTACAAAAAAATAATGTATGGATTTCAATTTATTGTTCTAAAATAAGCTTGTACTAAAATTCCATTTTCCCACAAACTCTCTGAAGTCCCCCATATACAATGTGTATAGTATGTGTGTATTCCACTGCGTAGAAGTGAAACCAGCTGTTTTATGGCTGCTGTCAGTTGTGGCCTTGCTAAGATGATGTTCAGTTTAGAGTCTCATTCTGAAACTAATAGTCAGTCATGTATATATATATATTTTTTTTCTTTTAACAGGATACAGTAGAGAAGATTTGTATAAAGGAAATAGGAACAAAGCAAAGGTTAGTAAATTTAAAACTTGTCGATCATGAGGCCAGCAGGTGGTATAGTGGTTAAGGCCCTGAACTCCCATATGGTTGAATCCCAGTTCCAGGGACTTGAAACTCACACCAAGCATGTGTGTTTGTGTACCCAAAATCCCAAGAGGAGTGTGAAGGAGAAGAGATTGTGGCATAGCCATCCTCCTGAGGGCTGATTTCTCACTTTCTCTCTCTGTGTCTCTGGCAAGCATATGCACCCTAGCAAAAAATCTCTCCCCCCCCCCCCCCCCCAAAAAAAAATACACAACACTCAACAAACTTGTAACACAAGCGCTGTAATTTACAAAAACTTGTCAATCATTCAATGGACATTAGTTTTATTTTATGGTTTAAATATTCATTTTAAATTATTTGAAACAACTTGAGATAGAAACTTAACATATTAGGCTAACTTTTCTTCATTTTTGGTAGCTTCTCCTTGACTATGTCTATAGAGATGCCATATGTGATTGAATCCATTTCCAGTGATACACACAAACTGAAACAAAAGGTTAGTGAATCTCTGACTTCTTAAGATCTTTTATTTTAACATGAATTTTATTATCAAACAGTACAGGATTATAGTGTGAAGATTCTGTTAAGGTTATCTCTCTTTCTCTCCCCCTTTCTTCCTCAAGAAGGAAATACATAGATAAACTTAAAAAAAAAAAAAGAAAGAAAGAAAACTTTTAGAAAGAAAGAAAACTTTTAAAAGAAAGAAAGAAAGCAACCCAAAGAAAATTATTATTTGAAACTTTGGAGGCATTGCCAGAGAAATAGCTCGAATATTCAAAGTGATTTGCTATCTCTGGCAAGTGGTATGAGGAGATCTAAGGGTCGGGACAGACCTTCTTACTAGAGGTTGCTGATACCATTATTTCACTCTTAAACCATGTGAATGTATTGTCTGATAAATAAAATTGATGTTAAAATAATCCTGTGATTATTTGCTGTCCTTTCCTGTCTCCAGATAACTCTAACTGAATACATGGATCTACAATCTTTGGATCCAGAGAATGAGATTGTCTTCGACTTACTTAAATTTGACTATGTAAATCAACTTTAGAATTTCAGAAGGATACCTGCTATGATAATGGTCTTCTAAAACTGACATTTCAGGGGGACCAGCAGGTGATGTGGTGGTTGGAGGCACTGGACTCCCACATGGCCGACATGGTTCGAGTCCTGCACCTAGAGCTTGCTTTCTCACTTTCCCTCTCTATCTTTCTCTCTCTCTTTCTGATCAAACTGGAAAATAATAATAATAATACAGTTAAATAAAATTTTTTTTAAAAGCTGACATTTCATAATTTTAGAATTTATTACAACATCGTCGATTCTTAGAGTTACATAAATTATGCAAGGGTTTGCTCCTTGGCAGGTAAGTGCAAGTGAGTAATATGGTATTGCCCCATTACTTACACTTTCGTATGGTCCTTTGTTTCGCAGAGCACAGACTGCAGAGCTGTGATCAGCACCGTGGAAGGCAGCTCCCTGGACAGCAGTGGATTCTCTCTCCACATCAGTTTGTCTGATGCTTATCTCCCAAGAATGTGGGTTGAAAAACATCCAGAAAAAGAAAGTGAGGTATATACTCCTTCTTACTTAGAACTAGGAGGTGTTAGAAAACTGTTTCAGAATAAATAGGTTATTTAAATTTAGATATTATTGTCTTGAAAAACTAGCATTTACTAAATGTAATGTATTTAAAATATACTTATGTAATTAAAAATACTTATATCAAGCATGACAAACTTCTGAGGTTTTAAAAAACAAACAAACAAGCAAAACCCTGTGGCCTATATTCCTATAAAAACTATAGTTATTATTTTCATTCCCACCAAAAAGAAAATCAGACATTATATTGGTTTGTACAAGATGTCTTCAAAAAGTTCACGAAAAATGCATATTATGAAAAGCTATGGACAGATTGCAGTATTTTTTCACTAATATGAAGTGATATTTCAATGAATTCCATTTATCTTGAACTTTTTTTTTTTTAACAGGGTCTCCCTGTCATACATAGTTATCCTGCCTCAGCCTCCTTAGTTGCTAAAAATGATAGACATGCTGTCACACCTAGCTTATGGGTTGGATCAGGAATCAAACCCAGACCTCATGTGACCCCAGTATAGTGTCACAGTAGTGTGCTACCACCACAGCTGGGCCTATAGAATTCTTAGACTTTAAAAATATTGGTACTGGAAAAACAAATAAAGAATATTTATGGCCGTAAGACCATTTTGTGTGACAGCAACAGAGCATTGCTTCTTAAAATAAAATAAAAATCGAGGTTACCTAGTGGTTAAGAGTGCCCGATCCCACATGATCAACTGTGTGTTTTGAGTCTTGGACGTAGCAACTTGGAAAACACACTGGGCAGGCCAGCAGGTGGCGTGGTGATGGTTAAGGTGCTGGATCCCACATGGCCAACTCTGTGGTTCGAGTCCTAGACCTGGCAGCCTGAAAAACACACTGGTCATGTGAGCATGCATGCCAAAAACCTGAGAGGAGAACAGAAAAGAAGGATTGTGGTGTAGTTATCCCCCATGGGGGGTAGTGGGTGAGAAGGAGGGGACTTCTTAATGTTTCTCTCTTTGTCTCTTTCTGGGAGCACATGTGCCCTATGGCAAAAAATCTTTAAAAAAAGAAAAAGAAAAAAACCACTGGGTACATGTGCATGAACGCCCCAAATCTGTCTAGGATGCAGAAATGGTGGAGAAGCAATTGCAGTGTGACCGCACCCCACTGGCGGGGTACTTTTCCCTGCTCCTTCTCTCTATATCTCTCTGTCTCTCTCTAGTGAGTGTATATGCTCTCTGGCAAATTAAATAAATAAATAAACTAAAACTTACTTGATAGTAGTTATACTTTAACTATCAGTTAATTAATAAAACCAAGGTATGTGTTAGCATAACAGCATTCATTAAGGAATAGTGTGTATAGGTGTGTGACATTATTTACTCATTCTACAGGCAACGTTGATGCTATATGATTTTTCAGAATTAATTCTATGTTAATTCTTGACCTTTCTAGAATTTATGTCCTACACACTGGAAACCCCAGCTCTGACTCTCTACTTTTTATTTGAGCTAGTAGCCTATCTTGTTGTTTGAACTCGTAGGCTGTCTTATTCTTTTTGTTTTTACAGCATTAGTTTACCTTACTAGAAAGTTTTAGAATTCTGCAAGTAGATATTTTCCAGTTTAAGTTCTGATAAGTTTCATTTTTCTCCTTTCAGGCTTGCATGCTTGTCTTTCAACCTGATCTTGACCTTGCCCTCCCTGAGCTAGCCAACAGCAGTGAAGTGATTATTTGCCTCGACTGCTCCAATTCCATGGAGGGTGTGACATTCATGCAGGCCAAGAAAATCGCCTTATACGCGCTGTCGTTGGTGGGTGAGAAGCAAAGAGTGAACCTTGTCCAGTTTGGCACAGGTGAGCACTGTGGCTCCAGCCCTAGGCGCGATTTCTTCTTCAAATGAGCATGCTCTATGTGACTGCTGAGGCCCGCCCTGACCTGTGGAGTGAGAGGTAGCCCCGTGGGAAGCTTCAGAACAAGAACTCTAGAGCCACAACTGTGCTGCCCACAAGCTCTGTGTGTTGCCCTTGGGAGGGCTGCTTGAACTTTGCGTGCCTCAGTTTCCTGTGTCACCTGAGAGGTATAGTCCCTACCTCACGGTGCTGTTGTGAGGACCAAGCTAATGTATACAAAGGATTTAAACCGGTGCCTCTTCCGTAGCGGGTGAGGTATAAATACTTGATAGCAGTGGTGGTATGAAGTAGCATGTTGTTTGTTGGTGGCTAATCAAGTGCATATTTCATGACAGTCTATCTTATTACACAGGTTACAAGGAGTTATTTTCATACCCTAAGTATATCACAAACAATGACACACCAACAGAGTTCATTATGGTGAGTAAAAGAAACTTCTTCCATCTCTCAATCTTTTTCTATCAAGCTTTTGTAATTCTGTCCAGGACTTAACTTCCATTTGGGTTTTTGTAGGTTGATGGGCTCTTTATATGATTCATAAAAGTGATATAAACTCACTAAAGGAGAATTAGAAATTTAAAACTATAGAGATAAAGATCATCCATACCCCTACCACCCAAATGCAAGTACCATTAACAGTTTTGGAAAGTTTTCTTCTGTCCCTTCTTTTTTACCTCTCAAAATAGAGCAAGTTGGGTATGACCAGGCACCCCCACAGTCCAGCCTGGCAAACCCAGGGATGCTTTGATGGGACACTTCTTCCTATAAGTATAAAATGTGGGGATCTTCAAAAAGTTTGTGGACAATGCATGCTGTGAAAAAAAAAAAAACTATGCATACATTTCAACATATTTTGGCACTAAAATTCATTTATTAATTATACTTTTCTCACAAACTTCTTGAAGTCTCCTCATGATTCTTTGAAAACTAAAAAAGCACAGGTCCAGCAGTTGGCATAGTGGTTGAGGTGCTGGACTCTCATGTGGCCAACTGCAGTTCAGTTCTTGGACCTGGAAGCTTGCTTTCTCACTTTCCCTCTCTCTGTGTGTGTCTGTCTCTGGTGAGCATGTGTATCCTATAGCAAATTTAAAAACAATAATAAAAAATAAAATTAAGTGACCAGCAGATGGCATAATGGTTATGCACTGAACTCCCATGTACTCAACCATGGTTCAAGTCCTGGACCCAGTGACTTAAAACTCAACACGTGTGTGTGTGTGCATGCCCAAAATCCTGAGAGGAGAATGGAAAAGAAAGGATTGCAGCCTACTGTCCCCCAAGGGAGATGATTTCTCGCTTTCTGTCTCTGTCTCTCTGACAAGCACATGTGCCCTATAGCAAAAACCTCTCTAAAAAATTAATGAATTAAATTAAACAAATGATCCTTAAAAAAAAAAACTAAATAAGCAAATAAGCTCCAAGTAATGATATTATAATTACTCTGTAACATGTACTAAAATAAAATAATATAGTACAGGGGGCTTCAAAATATTTGTGGAAAAATGAAATTAATGTATAGATTTTTTTTCATAATTATGCATTTTCCTTGGACTTTTTGAAGACCCATGTATAATTTTTCCACAAATGTATAATTTGAAAAAAAAAGAAAAATCCTTCTTTTCAATGGCGGTATATACCTAACCCTCACTAGAAAACATGCTTCATGGGGGCCAGTACTTGGCATAGTGGTTAAGGCACTAGACTTCTACATGGAAGACTGTAATTTAATCATTCACGTGTGCCCAAAATCTGAAAAGGAGAATGGAGGAGAAGGGATTGCAACGTCGCATCCCTCTGCCACCTCTGAGGTTGATTTCTCACTTTCCATTTCACTGTCTCTGTCTCTCTCTGGTGAGTGCGTGCACCCTATGGTAAAAACCTTTGAAAATGTAAAAAACAGCAGAAGAAATGCTTCAGTAAATTACTGCAGTCAGTGGCATGTATACTCAAAAAGAAGTAAATAACCTTTTCCTTCATTTCCTTCAGTCTGCTACCCCTAGCATGGGGAACACAGACTTCTGGAAAACACTGCGATATTTAGGTTTACTGTACCCTTCGGAAGGGTTGCGGAACATTCTCCTTGTATCTGATGGGCACCTCCAGGACGAGAGCCTGACCTTGCAGCTCGTGAAAAAAAATGCCCATCACACCAGGCTGTTCACCTGCGGTGTCGGGTAAGTCCCGCAATCTGGTCGCACAGATATGGAGAGCCCGCTAGTTGGTCTCTTCGCTGGTCTGCACAGGACTTTTGAAAGGTTCAAAGCTGATATAAGGGATCTGTAGAACATTCATGGAAAATGCCTATTATAAAAAATCATGCATGGATTTCAATTTTTTTTGCACCAAAATAAACTGTATACTTCAATTCCATTTTCACTAGCTGTGACTTTGGGCAACCACAGCCAGGATCCCAAAGAAATTCCCATAAGCTTTGCTCACTCATCCATAAAATGCCAACTCTGTCTAAAGCAGTGTCTGGTCAATGTTATAATCAGAGCCAGTTAATTTTCAGGATAAAAACAAATCTGGGGATGGCTCTGTGGCGTAGCAGTAATGTGCTACTCGATAGAAGCTGGACCCCATGTGGCAACTGAGGTTTGAATTCCTGGCCAGTCAGCCTGAAACACCTGGTACATGTTCAAGTGCCCAAGGTCTACAGTATGGAGGACTGGAAGAAGAGGCTCTTGTCATGACCAGATTCTGTGGAGGGTACTTATCTCTCTCTCTCTCTGTTTTACTCTCAAGGGTGTGTGCACATGCTCTGTCATGAATAAGAAAGAATTTTTAAAAATTTTTAAATAATGGTGAATTCGGTTTTTTTTTTTTGGAGAGTTGTGTTTTTTTTGTTTGTTTGTTTTTTTGTTTTTGTTTTTGTTTTTTTACTATAGGGCACGTGCGCTCGCCAGACAGACAGAGACAGAGACAGAGAGACAGAAAGCGAGAAATCTCATAAAAGTGATATAAACTCACTAAAGGAGAATTAGAAATTTAAAACTATAGAGATAAAGATCATCCATACCCCTACCACCCAAATGCAAGTACCATTAACAGTTTTGGAAAGTTTTCTTCTGTCCCTTCTTTTTTACCTCTCAAAATAGAGCAAGTTGGGTATGACCAGGCACCCCCACAGTCCAGCCTGGCAAACCCAGGGATGCTTTGATGGGACACTTCTTCCTATAAGTATAAAATGTGGGGATCTTCAAAAAGTTTGTGGACAATGCATGCTGTGAAAAAAAAAAAATATTTTGGCACTAAAATTCATTTATTAATTATACTTTTCTCACAAACTTCTTGAAGTCTCCTCATGATTCTTTGAAAACTAAAAAAGCACAGGTCCAGCAGTTGGCATAGTGGTTGAGGTGCTGGACTCTCATGTGGCCAACTGCAGTTCAGTTCTTGGACCTGGAAGCTTGCTTTCTCACTTTCCCTCTCTCTGTGTGTGTCTGTCTCTGGTGAGCATGTGTATCCTATAGCAAATTTAAAAACAATAATAAAAAATAAAATTAAGTGACCAGCAGATGGCATAATGGTTATGCACTGAACTCCCATGTACTCAACCATGGTTCAAGTCCTGGACCCAGTGACTTAAAACTCAACACGTGTGTGTGTGTGCATGCCCAAAATCCTGAGAGGAGAATGGAAAAGAAAGGATTGCAGCCTACTGTCCCCCAAGGGAGATGATTTCTCGCTTTCTGTCTCTGTCTCTCTGACAAGCACATGTGCCCTATAGCAAAAACCTCTCTAAAAAATTAATGAATTAAATTAAACAAATGATCCTTAAAAAAAAAAACTAAATAAGCAAATAAGCTCCAAGTAATGATATTATAATTACTCTGTAACATGTACTAAAATAAAATAATATAGTACAGGGGGCTTCAAAATATTTGTGGAAAAATGAAATTAATGTATAGATTTTTTTTCATAATTATGCATTTTCCTTGGACTTTTTGAAGACCCATGTATAATTTTTCCACAAATGTATAATTTGAAAAAAAAAGAAAAATCCTTCTTTTCAATGGCGGTATATACCTAACCCTCACTAGAAAACATGCTTCATGGGGGCCAGTACTTGGCATAGTGGTTAAGGCACTAGACTTCTACATGGAAGACTGTAATTTAATCATTCACGTGTGCCCAAAATCTGAAAAGGAGAATGGAGGAGAAGGGATTGCAACGTCGCATCCCTCTGCCACCTCTGAGGTTGATTTCTCACTTTCCATTTCACTGTCTCTGTCTCTCTCTGGTGAGTGCGTGCACCCTATGGTAAAAACCTTTGAAAATGTAAAAAACAGCAGAAGAAATGCTTCAGTAAATTACTGCAGTCAGTGGCATGTATACTCAAAAAGAAGTAAATAACCTTTTCCTTCATTTCCTTCAGTCTGCTACCCCTAGCATGGGGAACACAGACTTCTGGAAAACACTGCGATATTTAGGTTTACTGTACCCTTCGGAAGGGTTGCGGAACATTCTCCTTGTATCTGATGGGCACCTCCAGGACGAGAGCCTGACCTTGCAGCTCGTGAAAAAAAATGCCCATCACACCAGGCTGTTCACCTGCGGTGTCGGGTAAGTCCCGCAATCTGGTCGCACAGATATGGAGAGCCCGCTAGTTGGTCTCTTCGCTGGTCTGCACAGGACTTTTGAAAGGTTCAAAGCTGATATAAGGGATCTGTAGAACATTCATGGAAAATGCCTATTATAAAAAATCATGCATGGATTTCAATTTTTTTTGCACCAAAATAAACTGTATACTTCAATTCCATTTTCACTAGCTGTGACTTTGGGCAACCACAGCCAGGATCCCAAAGAAATTCCCATAAGCTTTGCTCACTCATCCATAAAATGCCAACTCTGTCTAAAGCAGTGTCTGGTCAATGTTATAATCAGAGCCAGTTAATTTTCAGGATAAAAACAAATCTGGGGATGGCTCTGTGGCGTAGCAGTAATGTGCTACTCGATAGAAGCTGGACCCCATGTGGCAACTGAGGTTTGAATTCCTGGCCAGTCAGCCTGAAACACCTGGTACATGTTCAAGTGCCCAAGGTCTACAGTATGGAGGACTGGAAGAAGAGGCTCTTGTCATGACCAGATTCTGTGGAGGGTACTTATCTCTCTCTCTCTCTGTTTTACTCTCAAGGGTGTGTGCACATGCTCTGTCATGAATAAGAAAGAATTTTTAAAAATTTTTAAATAATGGTGAATTCGGTTTTTTTTTTTTGGAGAGTTGTGTTTTTTTTGTTTGTTTGTTTTTTTGTTTTTGTTTTTGTTTTTTTACTATAGGGCACGTGCGCTCGCCAGACAGACAGAGACAGAGACAGAGAGACAGAAAGCGAGAAATCACCCCCCCAGGGGGGATGGCCACACTGCAATCCCTTCTCCTCCATTCTCCTCTCGGGATCTTGGGCATGCACGCACATGTGCCCGGTGTAAGTTTAAGCCACCAGGTCCGGGACTCAAATCACAGTCCACTACGTGGGAGTCCAGCGACATAGCCATTACACTAACTGCTGGTCCTGCTAAAACGTTTTTAAGAATAATTTCCTTAAACTCTCTCTCTTTCTTTTTTTTTAATTTGCCGGAGTGAGTGCATGCTGCCAGAGAGAGAAAGCACTCCCCAATGGGACACGGTCATGCCACAGGCCCTTCTCCTCCACTTCTCCACCCCGTCAGGATTTGGGGTACACATGCCTAGTATGGTTTTCAAGCAACTGGAGCCAGGATTCAAAGCATATGATCAGTCATGTGGGATCCAACTACCTTAATAACCAGGCCATGGAGGCCGCCCTTAAGCTCGCTCTCGTTCTCTTTTTTAAGCTCTTTTTTTGAAAGAGCTTTTTTCACTTGTTTCTTTAATATTTTAGTAGGATTCCCTCTAAGAAAAGAGTTTTTAGTAATTGTACAATTGTTGAGGACCAGCAGATAGCATAATGGCTATGTCGCTGGACTCCCGTGTAGTTGACCATGGTTCGAGTCCCAGACTTAAACTCACACCAGGTGCATGTGCATGCGTGCCCAAGATCTCGAGAGAATGGAGGAGAAGGGATTGCAGGATGGCCATCCCCACTGGGGGGTGATTTCTCGCTTTCTGTATCTGTCTCTCTTTCTGGAGAGCACACGTGCCTTATAGCAAAAACCTCTAAAAAAAAAGTAATTGTACAATTGTTAATGAGAAATACTGCGATACTTATTTAAATATCAGACATGTTCTATGTTAGAGAGTCACTTTTTTATACCTTTTACTATGTAAATATATATCATATGTTAAGACAAAGACTTTAACTCTGTGCAATCTTGACCTCGGGGCTCAGATTCAGATAACTTTGACATTCACCGAAAATAGGTTGATATCTTTACTAGTATTCTAATATTTCTGGGGCTTTTTAAAAAACCATCGACTTCCTCCTAAAATAATCTAGAAATCAAGCATTTCTACTTTTTTTTCTGTTGTGAAAGATAAAGAGGTCCTTGGATTTGTGTAAGATTAAATTAAGCAAAAATCCTGGAGTTGCTTTCTGTGTGTTATCAGTTTTATATTCAACCTCAGCCACAGAAGACTAAATTCTTCTTCATGAGATGTCTCTTCAATCTTCTGTTGAGTTTTGAGCTTCCCAACGTTGTTAACGTGTACTTCACAAATGTTTCTAATATTTCTTGAAAATTAAAACATGTGAATTGTGATCAGTTCTACAGCAAATCGCCATGTCTTAAGGACTTTGTCCCAATGTGGTGCCGGAGTATTCGAGTATTTTAACTCAAAATCCACACATAGTTGGAAAAAACAGGTAAGTCTTTTAAACATCTTCTTTCTAGTTTTGTGTTAACATGTAGAAATACTATCTTACAAGTCTAAGTGACAGTAACTTCTGTGTTTTCTGGAATGGAAAAGGGAGGCATAAAACTGCCAAAGGCATGACCCCCCCCACCCTTAGCTAGTGTTCTCCTGGCACCTGGCAGGGACTCAGTGAATATTTGATCAGGTCATTCTTCTACTTAACAGTTTGGTTTCTGTCTCATAAACTGTCATGGATTAACTTTTAAAAATATAATTCTATTTTTAAAAAAATAATTATTGAATTGTATTTACTATTTCTTTATTTGCTCAGAGAGAGACAGAGAGAGAGAAGGAAAGTGACAAAGCAAGTTGCCAGGTCCGGGACTTGAACTGTAGTCAGCCATGTGGGAGTCCAGCACCTTAACCAGCATGCCATCTGCTGGCCCCAGCTTTTTATACTAAAGTATTATATATGTTTCGCAGGGATTAATTTTTTTATTGTGGTAAAACATACATCAAATTTACCATTTTAACCATGTTTAAGTGTATGTATGGTTCAGTGACATTAAGTACAGTCACGATGTTCTACAAACATCACCACCATTTATCTTCAGAACTTTTCTAATTTTTAAATTTTGCTAGAGGGTATGTGTGCTCACCAAGAGATACAGTGAGAAGGAGAATGAGAAATCAGTCTCCGGGGGGAATGGCCACACCACAATCCCTTCTCTTCCACTCTCCTCTTGGGACTTTAGGCACTCACGCACACACACACCCCCAGCATGATGTCAAGCCGCCAGGCCCAGAACTCAGACTGCAGTTGGCCATGTGGGAGTCTAGCACCTTAACCACCATGTCACCTTCTGGCCCCTGGTGAGCATCTTTTCTTGTGCTTATTGGCTAGTTGTATGTCTTCTTGGGAAAATGCATATTCAAGTCTTTTGTAGTATTAATTTTCAGAATTAAAACCTATACATATCAAAGTTGCATATTAGTAATTAGCTAATGGGACAATTTTAGGATCCTCTGTAAATTTAAATGATATGATAGTGCTAGTAATTTTTGGAAGGTCTGCCCATGGCCTGATGGGTAAGAGAGCTGGATCCCATGTGGCCAACCTTGTGGGTTCAAATCATGGATGTGGCAGCTTAAAAAACACACCAGACTCATGTACCCATGTGCCCCAAATCCCAACAGGATAGAAAAATGAGGGAGAAGGGACTGCGGCATGTATTCTACTCACTGTATTCAGGGCTGCTTTCTTCCCCTCTCTCTTTCCATCTGGAAAGTGCATCCCCCCTCTGGCAATAACAATAATAATTATAATCTTTCTCTTTTAATAAGCTGTAGCAGGAAGGAGGGAACAAACCAAAGGCTATAAAAATCTCCCAAAGGATAGAATCTGTGCTTCAAGTGCTAACTAACTATTATCTGGATATAACATTAAAAGAGAAATAATTCTCTCTCTATAAATAGATAGAAGACCAAATGACCAGGGTTCGTTCTCCAAGTTGCCACTCTGTCTCCGTCAAGTGGCAACAATTCAGTGCAAATGCCCAGGAGCCCCTGCAGGCCCCAGCCCAGGTGCAGTCCTTATTCCACAACGATCGACTCCTTGTCTATGGATTTATTCCTCATTGTACCCAGGTAAGAAGCAGCAAAGCTTTTTCTACGTTGGGAAGACCAATGTATTTTCCTAATAGTTTTCCTTTTGTTCTTTCCTCTCTCTCATTGGCAGATTTTCTCCTGAGAAAACAGCAGGGCCACTGGGGAATCTTCTAACTCCCATTGAAAGAGGAGAGGAAATCACTGAAAAAAATGCTGTTAAGTTAACCAAGACACCGTGAAGTAGAAAGCTAATTAGGAATTCACTTTTTCCCATTTCAGGCAACCCTACGTGCATTAATTCAAGAGAAAGAATTTTGTACCATGGTGTCAACTACTGAGCTTCAGAAGACAACTGGAACAGTAAGATTCAAAACTTAAAATAAGGGGATGAGGAGAAAAAAAGGAGAAGCATTTTTCAATCTATTGGTGATAATATATATGATAATATCTTTTTTAATGTATTTTTTACTATATTTTTTAATTTCAAGAAAAGCAGATTAAACTTTAATAAATCAAAGAAATGCTAAGGAAATATGCTTGAAACTTAAAGCCAGGAAACAGGTTGGGATTCTGTTCAAATAGTAGGTACATGAACCTATCGGCAGCTCAAGAAAAGACAAAAATTCTTTTTTTTTTTTTTTGGATTTTTTTTGTTATAAGGCACAAGCACTCACCAGACAGACAGAGAAAGACACACAGAAAGCAAGAAATCACCCCCAGGAGGGATGACCACGCTGCAATCCCTTATCCTCCGTTCTCCTTTCAGGATCTTGGGCACGCACGCACATCATTCCATCCCTGACAGGATGGAAAAATGGAAAAGGGATTGTGTTATGAGCACATCCCATGGGGGTTGGTATTTTCTCCCTGTCTCTTTGGCAAACATATAATGCCCTGTGGCTATTTAAAAAAAGAAAAGGGTGAATTCTATTATATGCAAATTATATCTCAATTTTAAAATGGTCTACATAAGTCTTTTTTTTTTTTTTTTTTTTTGAGAGAGATTTTCACTATAGGGCACGTGTGCTCGCCAGACAGACAGAGAGAGACAGAGACAGAAAGCGAGAAATCACCGCCCAGGGGGGATGGTCACGCCGCAATCCCTTCTCTTCCATTCTCCTCTCGGGATCTTGGGCACGCACGCACACACGCCCAGCGTGAGTTTTAAGCCACCTGGTCCGGGACGCGAACCGCGGTTGGCTACGTGGGAGTCCAGCGACATAGCCATTATGCTAACTGCTTGTTCCCTACATAAGTCTTTACTTAGAAGTCACTGTAATTTTTTCTCCTTTGCTACTTCAACACAGATGATTCACAAACTAACAGCACGAGCTCTAATCAGAGATTACGAAGATGGCATTCTCCATGAAAATGCAACAAATCATGAGGTTAGTTCTATACATAAAAAAGAACTATTATACATTGTTCTCGATCATTCTTAAATGAATTTATTTATGGAAATGTAACCTGAGAATAGCTGGATAGAGAAGATTGCGGTGTCAGAGTGCTGCCAGATGGCTTTGGCGATGATATCCATGTTCCTGCTGTTTTGAACCAAAAAGTGAACAAAACAAGCCAATATCAAAAGGAAAAGGTAGTTTATTAAGTAAAAGTGAAAGTACATTCCCAGGAGGTAGGAGTGGACCTGAGCGGATAGAGAAAGAATGGCTCAGAAGGCCCCAGCAGCTACATTCTGTGAGATTTATAATTTTTAATCTAAGTAGCGTTGGTTGACCATTGGTTGGGCCCACTGATTGTGCTCAGTCTCACGGGCTCTATCAGATGTGGCTTAATCAGCTGGACATCCCCCCATTAATCTGCTTATATCACCTTGGGTGGGGAATTTTTCCACCCTGATGGGTTTCTCTATCCGGCTACATGGGCAGATGCTCCAGCCCCCTTACCCACTCCCATTTCTTTCTCCTGCCTGAAGAGCACCATCACCATGTCTGTGACGTATGTGTTTGGGGGGTAGAGCTCAATAAATGGTTGTTGAATGAATCAAGAACAGATGTCAGGGATTTCCCTAGAATTCTGTGATAATGTTGCCCATGGAACAAAGTTGGAGGAGGGCTCAGAGAACACTCGCTAAGTGCTCGTGGGAGACTAGTCTTGGCTCTCCCATGCTGTCATGCTAGTGTTCCCATCTCCTGATGCAGAAGCTCAGGTGAGGACAGTGGCGTCCTGCTTGAGGACACGAGTAGAGCCAAAACCCGCCTTGCTCCCCCTCCCCTGTGCTGAGAAGGATCCTGGCGGGGGATTCTGCTCAGTCAGCCCACCACGAGGGTCCAGCGGGTCTCTCATTACCAATGCCATTCCCTAAAGAAGGTCCAGTGTGCCGCACAGCAGCCTGGTGTCCTCACAGTCACAGCAGGTGACAAGTGATCTTGTGCTCTCACTGCCTCGACAGCCCTTGCATTAGCAGCCTTCATGTTGTTTTGCTCAAGGCCTTTTTATCTTGGGGTGAGGCGGGGGCAGGAGGAGTACCTGACTAGCCCTGACTCAAACAATCCTGAACAAGTCACTCTGCCTCTCCAACTCCTTGGCATTAAATGGGGACCCCAGACTGTGAAAGGATAAGGAAGCTCACGCACGTCAGTGCTCCTTGTAAACCAGGAGAGCTGTATAAACACAAATTATTGTTTTAGCTAAATCGGTTAATGCCATTTTGCAGGCAACACTGAGTCACCTACATAAAATGTTTAGGCAAGATGCTGGTTCAATATTTAGTTTGAAATACTAATTTTTAAGTGATTTACTTGTCCTAGTGAAATACTTTTTTAGATGATTTAATACACTCTTTTTTTCTTTTTTTAAGAGAGATTTTTGTTATAGAGCACATGTGGTCACCAGAGAGACAGAGACAGAAAGCAAGAAATCACTCCCAGGGGAGATGGCCATGCCACAATCCCTTCTCCTTTAGTCTCCTCTTGGGCACACACGCACACATGCCCAGCATGAATTTTAAACTGCTGGGTCCAGGACTTAAACCATGGTCAACTATGGGAGTCCAGCAACGCAACCATTACACCGTCTGCTGGTTCTGATTTAATACACTCTTAATTGGTCACATACAAAGGACTTGAAGTAAATAAAACAGGACATGATTTTGTTTTATTCTATCCTAGATGAAGAAAGAAATCTTGAAATCTCTGATTATTAAACTCAGTAAAGAAAACTCTCTCATAACACAATTTACAAGCTTCATAGCGGTTGAGAAAAGGGTATGTATTGTTAATTCATGGTTAAATTATTTTATTTCTATTGACACATTAAAGAAGTTACACGTAGGGGGTTGGGCATTAGCACAGTAGTAACACAGCACTGTGACACTGACACATTTGCGAGGGTTATGGGTTCCCATCCAGAGAGCTCTCTGAATGTGTTGGGTACATGTGTGCCCTTGAGCCAGGCATGGCTGAGATTGGGGCGGATGGTGTCCTGAAGACCCTTTAAGGAGTGCCTGGTTCTCTCTTTGAAGGAGAAAGAAACTTAAAGTTATTTCTGCTCTGATTGTTAATGACAATGCCATGCCAATGGCCTATGACACAAGGTGAGGTGGAAAGAGACACAGGCCTCATGAGCCAGGGCCTCCATTTGTGATGACCCTCAGCATGAGGGCTTCCCACAATCTCTCCAGATGAATTGCATACATTATCATTTTTAATCTTACCATTATTAATTAGTTATAATTATACTTTTAAGCTATAACAAGTTTGTTACCTATTTGGCACTTATCATGTATTAATCCAAGACCCTCAAAAAATTGGAAAGACCTGGATTTTCTTTATGTTTTGAGAGGCTCTTTTTCTTCGTTAAGTTGAAAAAGAAAATCTTAAATGTACTTAGCACAGCGCTCAGCACCCAGTGAGTGCTCCATGAACAGTAAAGCCACCCAACTGCACGGATCTGTCTACTCCCCATCTTTCTGTCACACTCATGACAGGGACACACCATCCAATCAAACATATTCCAAACCCAACATCCACAAAGCTTTAGAAAGTGTAGTAATCACTCAATAATATCTCTTTTGACTTAACCCAATTGTGATTCAATACAGGATGATAATGAGTCTTTTCGTGACATTCCAAATATTTCGGACCTTATCGCCCAAGAAGATGTGGACTTCTTGCCATATATCAGCTGGCCGGAGGAGCAGCCAGACCCCGGTGTTTCACAGGTAATGTTAATTACTGGATGAAGTGATTTCGCACTTTTATATTTTCATGAGAGGAACGCTGCTAAAAATAAACGGACACCTCTTACTAGGTGTACATGTAGAAATGGTCACCTCCTAGGTCAGCTCCATGATCTAGTGGTTGGAGAACTGGATTCCGCATGGCAGACAGTGTGCTTCAAATCCTGCTCCACAGAGTTGAAAAACATGCCAGATGTAGGTGGATGCTCGCAATTCCGACAAGATGGAGAACTGGAGGAAAAGGGATTATGGCATGACCACCCCTCTTTGAAGAGTGCTTCCTCTCTCTCTCTCTCTCTCTCTCTCTCTCTGTTTCTCCGACTCTCTGCATATGCACCTTTGGCAAATAAATTTTTTTCTTTTTTTTTTTTTTTGGAGAGGTTTTTGCTATAGGGCACATGCACTCACCAGAAAGACAGAGAGAGACAGACAGAAAGCGAGAAATCACCCCCAGGGGGGATGGCCACGCCACAATCCCTTCTCCTCCATTCTCCTGTTGGGATCTTGGGCACGCACGCACATGTGCCTGGCATGAGTTTAAGCCGCTGGATCCAGGACTCGAACCATGGTTGACTACATGGGACTCCAGCAACATAGCCATTACGCTAACTACTGGTCTTGGCAAATAAATTTTTTAAAAAAGAAAAGCAATTGTCTCCTTGATGAAAATATTCATACATTTATAAAAATGTGGTGTAGAACCATAAGGAAGGGCCATGTGTCGCTGGACTCCCAGATAGCCCACCACAGTTCAAGTCCTGCACCTTGTGGCTTAAAACTCACACTGGGCATGTGTGCATGCATGCCCAAGATCCTGAGAGGAGAATGGAGAAGGGATTTTGGCATGGTCATACCCCCTAGCGGTGGGGGGGGAGGTGATTTCTCACTTTCTGTCTGTCTCTGCTTTCCAGCAAGCACATGCACCCTATAGTAAAAAATCTCTCTCTCAAAAAAAAGTGCTACTTACAAAAAAGCATTACTGAGATAGTCACCATGTATTAATATAAATGTATTTGCAAAGTACAAAAAGAAAACTGCTGTGGTATGCTTCACTCAAGTACAAATAAACTGAAAACTAAAGTCGTTTAGGTAATATAATAGGTCATCAGGAAGTCATGACGTATTTTTCTATACAAAAACGCGTCATGACTTTTGGGATGACCCAATAGATTTGCATTAAATTAATGATAAAATTCCTATCCTAGTCATCTAAAATCACTGTCAATATTTCTTAAGTTTACAATGCTTTATTATGTGGCCCTTATAACCAGAAATATAATAAAAATTGAGAAATGTGACTTAGAAATTGGAAACCATCTTCAAAGTGAAAGGAACAAAACAGTGCTAATAAGATTCTTCAGCACCAAGGGTAGAGAAGTACAAGCTCCCAAATTTAAGGATTTAGAATCTTAGGAAGAAAATAGTTGTGAGGAGAGAAATTTTGAGAAAATAAAATGTATGCAATACTCATTTCCTTTGGTATTTTTAAAGTGATTGTATTAGTTAAGGACATAAAAGCATTGGGATCACCAGATGGCATGGTGGTTAAGGGCTCTGGACTCCCACATGGCCGACTGTGGTTCGAGTCCTGGACCTGGAGTCTTGATTTCTCACTTTCCCTCTCTCTTTCTCTCTCTCTCTCTGGTCATATTAAAATAAATAAAGTTAAATAAAATAATTATTAAAAAATTCACTACATTAAAAAATACATATATAAAAGCATATTAGATATCACCTGCTTTCTTCATAAAATCATGTTTGATATGTTTTGAGATGGCAAGTAACAAAAGAAAGAGAAGGAGGGAGGCAGAGAGAGAGGTAAAGAATGTTTCTTAGTTGAGGTGGTGGTGACTGATCGTGCAGCTGGACCTGCGAGGGAAGGGTCCCTCGTTTGAGTCCCAAGGCCTCCCCAAGCTTGCCTGACATGCACATGTGTGCCTGGACTGGCTGGGACTGGAAGTGGGTTGTGGCATCAAGGCCTTATAGGGAGTGTCCATCTCTCTGTGTCTGTTATGGGAGAAATAAAGAAGTAAATTTTTTTAAAGAGATTTTTGCCTTAGGGTGTGTGCGCTCACCCAAGAGAGACAGTGAAAGGGAAAGTGAGACATCACCCCGAAGATGGGGTGGCCACGTCACAATCCCTTCTCCTCCATTCTCCTCCTGGGATCTTGGGCCCACATGCACATGTGCCTGGTGTAAGTTTCAAGTCACTAAGTCCAGGAATTGAACCGCAGTCGCCCATGTGGGAGTCCAGTGACATAACCACTACACCATGTGCTGGTCCCAAGAAGTAAACTTTTTAAAAAGAAAACATATTTTCTCAACCCTTCGCAAAGTACTTTGGTTTTATAGTTGGGGAGATAATAACTTCAGAAAACCATGCTCCCATTTCCTGTCTGGGCTCCTGATCAGCCCTTCTCCCATAGACTAGGCAGAGGAGTTAATACAGCATACCCAGCTATTGCCATCCTTCTGGGAATGAGCTGAGGAATAAATGAACCAAACTATATTGAAAAACTAACATTAGGCTGGCCCCGTGGTCTAGTGATTAAGGGAGCTGGATTCTACATGGCCAGCCACATAGTTCAAATCCTGTCCTCATAGACTTGAAAAACACACTGCACACATGTGCATGCATGCTGAGAATCCTATGCAATGGAGAAATGGAGGAAAAGGAATTGTGGCATGACTATGTCCCATGGAAGAGTGTTTTCTTCCTCCTTCTCTCTCTCTGGTAAGCTCATGCACCCTCTGGCAAAATTTAAAAATAAAATAAATACCTTTCCTATTCAGAGATTATACTTTAAAATTTTCCCTTCATTTCTTTAAATAGTTTCATGTTTTCATGGTTATTCTTATTTTTAAGGTTTTTACCATAGGGCACATGTGTTCGCTGGAGAGAGACAGAGACAGTGAGAGGGACAGTGAGAAATCACCCCCTAGGAAGTGACTGCCACATCACAATCCCTTCCCCTTCATTCTTCTCTTGGGATCTTGGGCACACTTTACATATGCCCAGCATGATCCTCAGGCTGCTAGGTCTGGGACATGAACCATGGTCAACCATGTGGAAATTCATCACCTTAACTACCACACCACCTGCTGGCCCCTGAAATTTCATCTTGATCATCTGTTAAACTCCATGTTTTAGGATTTATTGCAAGACTATCTACTTTGGTTCATTGAGCCTTCTTTTATAAGTATTGTATTTTTATAAAAGTCTTTTTTTAAAAAGAATTATTTTATTTATTTAACTTTATTTATTCATTTATTTATTTTAATTTGACCAGAGAAGGACAGAGAGAGAGAGAATGAAAGTGAGAAAGCAAGCCGCCAGGTCCAGGACTCGAACCGCAGTCAGCCATGTGGGAGTCTAGTACCCTTAACCACCATGCCACCTGCCGGCCCCATAAAAGTCTTTAATATCAAATAGGTCTAGTTCATCACTACTTTTTCAGTTTGCTTTTCTAATGTTTAAAACATTTGTTCATACAAGAAACCTTCAAAATGTTCATAGAAAAAATGGAATTAAAGTGTGAGTTTATTTTGGTGCAAGAAAATTTTAAATTCATACACTATTACTTCTTTTTTCTTTTTAATTTGCTATAGGGCATATGTACTCTCTGGAGTGATACAGAGAGAGAGAGAGAGAAACCACTCCCCTCAGGGGGAATGGCTATCCTCCTCCACTCTCCTCTCAGAATTTTGGGCTCACACACACACATGTGTTCAGTATGTTTTCCAAGCTGCTGGGTCTAGAACTCAAACTCCACAGTCAGTTATGTGGATTCAGTCACCTTAAGCACAATGCCACTGACTGGCCCCATAGGTTTTTGCTGTAGGGTGCATGCACTCGCCAGAGAGAGACATCCCTGAGGGGGATGACCATGCCACATTCCCTTCTCTTCCATTCTCCTCTTGGGATTTTGGATACTACACATACGCACCTGGCATGTTTTGCAAGCCACTGACTGGGTCTAGGACTTGAGCCGTTCATTCAGCCATGTGGGGTCTAGCCACCTTAACCACCATGCCACCAGCTTGTCTTCATTTATTCTAAAACTTTTGAAAAACAAATTTTTTATTGTCTTTAAGTTACTGGAAAACAGTCTAAAAGACTAGACTGTTTTCAAATTATTGTCTTATTTTAATGCTAATTTGTACACTGGATGCTGGTCATTGTAAAATCTTGGGCAAGTCACCTCTGTGATTTTCAGTTTCCATATATGTAAGATAAGGGGTATTTAATATTTTGTAATTCGAAGACAAAAGAAAAAGGTCTTTGATGTATTGATTGCTGGTATTCTCTCCAGGTCTCAGCCTCCATAGCTATAAAATGAGGACCCTGGGGCCAGTAGGTGGCATGGAACTTAAGGCTCTGGATCCTATGTGATCGATTCCGCAGTTTGAGTCCCAGACCCAGCAGCCTGAAAACACACTGGGTGCATGTGTGCCCAATATCCTGAGAGGAGAATGGAAGACAAGGAATTGCAGAGTGGCCATCTCCCCTGGGAGGGGCTTTCTCACCTACTCCCTCTCTGTCTCTCTCTGGTGAATGTATACCCTGTGACAAAAACAAAACCAAAAAGCTTTAAAAATGAGGGCCTCGTCCCTTTTTTTTCTAAATAATTATTTTATTTTGGGGCTGGCTGGTGGTGTGGTGGTTAGGGATGCAGGACTCTCACATGGCCGACTGTGGTTCCCTCACGAGGAGTGGCTACCCTCCTCCATTCTCCTCTCAGAATTTTGGGCACACACACACACACACACACACACACACACACACCACTTTACACACAAGTAAAGTTGCTTACATTTTTTTTTTTTTTTGAGAGGTTTTTGCTACAGGGCATGTGCACTCGCCAGAAAGAGAGAGAAAGACAGAGAGATAGAAAGTGAGAAATCACCCCCCAGGGGGGATGGCCATGCCGCAATCCCTTCTCTTCCATTCTCCTCTCAGGATCTAGGGCACGCATGCACATGTGACCAGCGTGAGTTTAAGCCACCGGGTCCAGGACTTGAACCGCGGTCGACTACATGGGAGTTCAGCAACATAGCCATTACGCTAATTGCTGGTCCCACTTATTTATTTATTTTAATTTGACCAGAGAGGGACAGAATAAGAGCACGTGTGCGCGCGCGTGCACGAGAGAGAGGGAGAGAGAGAGAAAGTGAGAAAGCAAGCCACCAGGTCCAGGACTCGAACCACGGTCGGCCACGTGGGTCCAGCGCCCCTAACCACCACGCCACCTACCTGCCCCTAGGACCTTGTCCTTAAATGATCCCGAATAGAATAGCTCTTATTATTTTCAGTGTCTCTGACTCTGTTGTTTCTGATTCTGGGAATTATGCTCTGGGATTAAAAAAAAAGCTTGACTGCTGGGAAGTCGACTACTCGGAAGAATGTTTGTTCATTTTATTCTGTCTTTTCCTTACACTAATAATTTTTTTTTTCTCAGCAGCCTCTTTTAGCATCCCCTGAATGGAATGAAGGATTGGGTTTATTCAAACGGAAGGGCATGGCTAAAAGGAAAACGAAATCCTCTAAGCCAGCAGTTCCTGTATGTGCTGAATGGCACAGCCTTCCTTCACAGCCAGCACTCCGACAAGCAGGGATGGACGGACCGTTAGGTTTGAAGCAGACTGCTTCCTTTACAAAGAAAGAACTTCCAAAACCATTGATGAAAGCCATGCAACCAAAAATGGCATCTGCTGCCAACTTCTCTTTTGGGGCTGGAGCAGCTGGTTCTCGCCCTTTCTCGGCTGCTGGCCTTGGGTATTCAGCTCCCCTGGGTGCTCCCCCCTTACCTCTTCATAGCTCTCTTTTTGGTTCTCATCCGGGTCCCCAGCAGTCTGGCTTTTTTGAGATTGCCAATAGTACCAACATTTCCATTGGCTTGGGCTCTCCACTCAGAACGTCTCCCCAGGACCCACCTGTTTTTCATAAAGATGTTTGCCCTAGGGCAGATGCACTGGCCAGCGACACAGAGAGAGAGCCAGAGGCACAGCAAGTGAGAAGACAATTCCTTCTCTGTTCTTCTCCCGGGATTTTGGGCACGCACGCACGCACGCCTAGCGTGAGTTTCAAGCCACAGGGTCTGGAACTTGAACCACAGTTGGCCACGTGGGAGTCCAGCGCCATAACCGCTATGTCACCCTCTAGCCCCCCAGACCCATCTTTTGAATTTGCCTGTGGTATGAAATCCCTGAAGTTATGTGTCTCTGAACAGCTTGATCCACACAAACCTGAGGAGGACGTTTTGGACTTTTGTAGTGCTGACACCTCCCTTGAGCTGGACTCTCCACTTCAGCAGATTCCTCTTGTTGGTTTTTGTGGAGCGCTTCCCCCTCCTCCTCCTCCTCCTCTCCCAGGAGGTGTTATGTTTCCTTCCAGTTTTCCTCCTCTGGACTCTCCACTCCAGCAGGGTCCTGCTGTTCCTTTTCATGGAGCGCCTCCTCCCCCTCCTCCTCTCCCCAAAGGCCCTGCGTTTCCTCCCAGTTTTCCTAGAGCTCCTCGCCCTCCTCTGGGCTCTCCACTCC